TGTGTAGTCTTTCGTTCCAGCAAGCATATTGCTACTTCCTTATGATATATTTTACAACGGCAAGAAAAATGATACTGTCTTATTGATACAAGGATAAGACAAAAAAGAAAATGAGAAAATAATAAACTATGGCCCATTATGGTTTAAACTTTCAAGACTTCAGAAGTTGAAGAAGGTCACAATGATACCCGTTGTCAGTGATTTCGCTTGATATGGAGACTAAGAGGATATAGACATGCTGAAAACGTAGTATTGATTGTTCAATAGAACTGTCAAAAATGGTGATTAATTGATTTTGTATAGTGGCATATCAAACTCAATTGGTTATTTAATGCTGAAATCTAAATATTGGAATACAATGTATGGTTTCAAATAAATATATTTTCGACGTATTTGTATGCCTTCAAATACAGATAAACTTTATTGTTAGCCATTCTACTATAAAATGTTTTGCTGTTAATTTTCCTATAAATATGTATTTTTATACTTTTATAATATTTTTTTTGGGGGGGTCCCATATTTTGCCATAGCTAGGACTCTAACAGGTGCTACCACCCCGGATCAGAGTGGATATGGGAACAATGCTTCCCAAAAACTACAGTCCCCCTATCAAACGCCTTGCTGCTGAATGAAGTTTATAGACATACCCAGGACTATTTAAATGAAGGAAACCTCTTAAAAAAGCCAGGAATATTTCTGGAAAACTTACGAAAACTTAGAGCCAGAGGATAAATGCCATAATACATCTGGCTGTTGGTTCAAATCCGCTATCTATGCATCAATTACTAAGATCTTATCTAGTATATCTAATAATAATGATAAATAATGGCAATATAAACCACTTTATACTCAATACTCTGCCCGTAACAAACAAGCTGATGTAGACCTAATGCAAGATTAAAAGCTGAAACCGTATGTTTTATTCTTTCATTACAGGACCAATGTTTTCTGATTAGAAATTATCAAACTCGCATTCTGAGAAATTGTGTTAACCCGAAATGCAGATTCTGTGGTAAATATCCAGAAACAACTGTATCAGGTTGCATGGTGATTGTACCCACTGATTATAAAACACTAGCAGTAGAGCCCGGCGTTGCCCAGGGATGTAACAGTAAGAGATAGATCAAGTATCGACCATCATAAAGACTGAAAAATAAAATTGACAAAGATTATTGTTTAAGGTTGACGGACACGCATGTCTTAATTAGTTTTTTTTTTTTTTTTTTTACGAATTGGTCAAACCCAAACTGAGACAAAAACATTGTTTACAATCGTTATGAGTCTACCGATTGAATAGAATTTTATTATAAACAATTGTCTTGTAAATGGAATTTTTAAAGCATTCTGAATGTAAAAATAAAGAAAAAAGTGTGCAAGACAATAAGAAACACTACCCGCCAAAAAAAAAAAGTGAAGTTTTGTTGAAATCGGTTGAAAAATGTAGGAAATCCGATCCCATATAAAAACGAACACACACACACACAAACAACCTGGGTTTTATATAAGTATAACTCGATATGAGTTGTCCCCCTTTTATTCTCGACAGCGATGCCTCTTAATCGTGGTTTCAAATTGATTTCGTGCAAAAAAAATGTGTTTTTCCCATTTTTGGCGCTGTCAGAACCACCGCAAGGTAATTTTACGTAGTCCTGTGAAGTTTTGTTGAAATCGGTTGAAAAATGTAGGAAATCCGATCCAATATATAAACGAACAGACACACACACACAATCTGGATTTTATAAGTATGATGACAGAAATGGTCAAAATCTGCACTGGAAAATATGCCACTTTTACTGGAGGGAAACTGCAAGAAAGTTGTATGAACATCATCAAGAATCGGTTAAGGATATAGGACCTGTACCAATTTTATGTGACATAACAAAACAGAACAATCAAAGCTAATCACCCACACATCGTGATCAATTACTACAGGAACAGAATGTGCTTTTTTTATTGACCTGGCAGTCCCTGCAGATTGTAATGTATCTCTGAAGATCATAAAAAAAATATATCAAAACACAAGCAAAGTGAAAGTCACAAAAAATGCACACATGAAGTTATTAATAATTCCAATTGAGATTGGAGACATCAAATTGAATAGAATACAGTCCTACAGCCTCATTGATGAGATACCTGTAGCCCATGTTTCAAAAAAATTAACAGAAAAAAAAAAACATTGTACTCAAGTAATGCTCACGCATTACGAAAACCTTTACCTATGTGAAATGTGCGCCATCTTTTCATTCTGGCTATTTATATATATATTTTTTTTTACAAAATATGATCACTTGAAAGTGTCAGGATGCCATTTTTGACCCTAGATCTCTGGTTGGGACCCGGAAGGAAATGTGTATACAACTGAAATCAAAGGAAATATTAATAATAATATCGTTTAAATAATTTTTTTGTAGTCTGCGATACAGAAATGAACATCTTAGGTAAAAGTATAATCTTGCGACATAAATTTAACTGCCAGGAGTTTTCATATTCGCTTATAAATCGCAGGGTCATTTTTGAGGAAAAAGTGCATCTTTTACCCTGTCGAATATGGCACACACACAAATACAAACATGCGAAATATGTCAGTGGCCAGGCATAGAGCTCAATTCAATTCGGTTGCGTTAATACCGGAAATGAGCCACTGTTTAAAATTACCCTTTTCTCAAGTCAGCTCAACCGGATTTCCCAGGAGTATATATATATATATATATATATATATATATATATATATATATATATATATATATAAGTTTAATTAAAAACGACTGAAAATGTATTGTTTTAAAGTTTTTTTAAATTTAATTTTGCTTGTGTTCTTATAATTTTCGTCATAAATTATGTCGAATGTTCTGTATGTATATGTCCGAACGTTTTCTGCTATAATTTTCACCAACATCATGAATGATTTTATTTTTACTTTGAACTGAATTTATGAATTCTTTTATGTATGTATCTAGAGTTATAGGAATGTTTTATTTTCTCTGAACATAGTTCTATTAGGTCCCATTTAAATCCACATGGTAATCTTACAAACGTTGATAATACAACTATAATACCCCCATTCATATATCAAAAAAAGTTTAAAATAATGGACTCAATAATAATAAAAAATAAAAGCCAACACTCGATAATATCAAATATGAACGCGGCCAAAATGAGCTGACACTAGCCACTCGGCAGCGAGGAAGGTCAATTTCTATGCGAAATACGTGAGTGGCCCGGAGAGTTCAATTCAGTTCGGTCGAAGAGCAATGCGTTAATAGCTGTATGAGCCACTTGTTTTTAAAATTACCCTTTTCTCAACCGGATTACCCGGGAACACACACCACACACACACACACACACACACACACACACACACACACACACACACACACACACACACACACATATATATATATATATATATATATATATGGGTGGGTTGTTGGGTTTTGCATATTGGAAAGCACTCAATATCAGTGATAGAGCAACCATATTTAGCTGAATAGATACGAGTTTGTGACCGTCGGGGTTGATGGTGGATTTTCGTCTGTGTTCTTTTGGGGATGACGCTCACACATATACATGCATATATTAATAATATTATCGTTTCAGTCGTTTTTTGTAGTCTGCTATACAGAAGTGACCATCTGATGTAAATGTATAGCATTGGGATATAAATTTAACTGCCGTGAGGTTTCTTATTCGCATACAAAACGCAGGGTCATTTTAAGAAAAATCATTATCATGTCAAATATGGTACACACAGAAACATTTATTTATATATATATATATATATATATATATATATATATATATATATATATATATATATATATATATATATGTTTCTGTGTACCATATATATATATATGTGTGTGTGTGTGTGTGTTTTGATATGTACAATCATATTTTCCGTCTCTATGGACGTATATCTAGATGTAAATGTAATGTGTCTTTCTACGCATTGTATTGCATACATTTGACTACCGACCTCGGTGGAGTTGAAGACGGGGAGACTGATTCGGTTTGATGCACTTGGCGTCATTCTGTCCATCCCATGCAGGCTAGTCCCTCCACTCCATTAAGTCTGCGAAAGGGCTTACTGTCTCGAGACGCCGAGAGAAAGCATGAGGGCGATGCCGCTCAATTCTGGCACCGCGGCGCTTGCGCAAGAAGACACTTGGGAGTGGCGATAGTGCTTCTCCAGACGGTCCACGCTCGGCCCACCTCCACCGGTCAGTCTTTTGTAAGTGAAAAGGAAGGTAGGAGAAAGAAAAACGGTCAGACGTAAGTGGGTGAACATGGAGTAGAAGAGAAAGAGGGAGACAGACAGAGATGGATATGTAGAAAGATTCGCTAAAATAGACAATTATTGTAGATGTGTCTTATTCAGAATAAGCATCTGTAAAAGCAATGTTCATTCTTCACAGTGCAATGAAAATTGTGGACATTGAGTGAATAGCTAGACTTTTCGGAAGGCGAGGTACTCAATGCGATTGTGAGGAGATGGTGTGTGTGCGCGTGTATTTATGTGTGTCTGTGCGCAGCTGGATGTCCATTATTGCAGGTTCGGATGTTGCTGTGTTTCTACAGGAAATACTAATTACTATCTATCTATCTATCTATCTATCTATCTATCTATCTATCTATCTATCTATCTATTTATTTGAGACTCTTTATTATCTATCTATCTATCTATCTATCTATCTATCTATCTATTTGAGACTCTTTATTATATAACCATCTATCTATCGATTTGAGACTCTTTATTATCTATCTATCTATCTATCTATTTTATACTCTTTCTCATCTATCTATCTATCTATTTGAGACTCTTTATTATCTATCTATCTATCTATCTATCTATCTATCTATTTTAGACTCTTTCTCATCTATCTATCTATCTATTTGAGACTCTTTATTATCTATCTATCTATCTATCACTGACTGTCAGTTCATAACTATCTTACTCAGTTCATATAAATCTATCTCTGTTTCTATCTATCTAAATATCTATGTCCACCAGTTCATATCTATCTATATATCTGTTTGTCTATCTCTATTCATATCTATGTATCTACCTGTCTATCATATCTATCTCCGTATATATATATATATATATAATTATTTTAGTCCATTCATATCTAAGTTTTTCATACCTATCTTTATATCAATCTATCTATGATCTATGTATCTAAGTATTTTTCTATTTATTTATATATATTCTATCTATGTATCAGGCTTTTCATATCTATCTATCTATCTATCTATCTATCTATCTATCTATCTATCTATCCACAACTAACAGTTCATATCTATCGATCTATCTACCTGTCAAGTCTTTTTCATATATATCTCCATCTGTTTTCTTATTTATCTATACATATATTTTAGACTGTTCATATCTATCTATCTATTTCATATATATCTCACTCTTAGCTTGGATATATATATATATACGTCAGCGACGGTTGAGCTCATGGACAGTGATTGAACGTTTCTGGCATAAATAGGTATTTGACAGAGAGATGTGAGTAAAAAAAATGAAAATACTAATCTAATCACATGAGGTATCCTCAAGTTAATTGTTAAATTATTCCCACGCAAATGTTCTCCATATTAAAAATGAGCTAATACTTACCTGACGAACATTTTTATTTTATTGTTAACGTATCTCTCTGTGAGAGCATTTTCAAAGAATGGAAGAAAACGTAGCCTTACCAAGAATGCGAGTTTAATATATGCCCGTAAAATGTGTAATTAAACCTTACACGACAAATAGATTAAATATACATCGAACTGTTCAAATATTTCATATCAATGATATATATATAACTGACGATAGCGTGTCAGGTGCTGATCTTCTCAAAATATGCAACATCGGTGGAAGTGAAATTTTCCTGATGCAGTCACTGTTAACCATGTTCGCCATTGTCTATGAATATAGAATACAGCGCAGTACGTAATCTGTTCAATGAAACAACGTTAAAGATTAACACCCACGAGAAATGGTTGGCAGTGAGTATTCGAAATAAAAAACATGGCCGCCTTTATACACGTCGCATTGAATATTTTGAGACTCCTTATTGGTTAACCCTTCTATTGGTGAACTATAAAATGAGTCAGCTCATTTTGGTTGGCTCACTAGTACATCAGTGTACCCAAAAATTCCAATAGTCACAACTTCGCTGGGCTGGTCATGTTACAAGGATGAGTGACAACAGAATACCTATGGTCCTCATGAATAGTCAGCTTGACAGTGGACATAGGATTGTTGGTCGATCGTGGCTCAGATATAAAGAAAAAAAAACTAAGTTGAGTTGTCAATATGCCGCATACTAAGTTCAAGCTAGTTGGCTAGAAACTCTAACCCAGAGCGGTATTGGAGATTTCGAAATTATATTGAACGGCTTAGAGCCGAAAGACAACTTCAAAAAGCGTCAGTAAATATTCCTCTTTCTATGTCCCAAGATCATCGCTGTTACACAATATGTATGCAGGTCACCAGCAGGACTGAAGTGTCACATACGGCACAAACATGAAACTGAATTAGATTATTGGATCCTCATACATAGAAATCGAAGAGAGATTTCATCAACATCTATCTATCTATCTATCTATCTATCTATCTATCTATATATATATATATATATATATATATATATATAATGTCTTAATGTGAGCCATATTTATAGGTTAAAGGGATAGAGCGTATACAAATATAAAAGTGGACATTGAAGTCAACACGCAGAGGCGACAGTCTGTTTCATGCTAAACGCAATTCTCGGGGCATTATTATTAGCATGAAACAGACTGTTGCCTTTGAGTGTTGAATTCATTGTCCTCTTTATATATATATATATTTATATATATATATATATATATATATATATATATAATTATTAATATTATTTTTTATATATTCATACATTCAATTCATATATTATTATATATCCCTATATGCATTTCCTATATTAACACACACACACACACACACACACATATATATATATATATATATATATATATATATATATATATATATATATATATATATATATATGAATAAAAATGACAATAGGAAAACTAGTAATTGCTGACGCGTTTCGTCCAATCAGCAATTACTAGTTTTCCTATTGTCATTTTTATTCATAAATATTGTCCTATCTTCTGGTTACATCGGAGAAATTTTCATATATATATATATATATATATATATATATATATATATATATATATATATATATATATATATATATATATATTTGTATATATTACTCTTATTATTATTATTGTATTATTATTATTAAAATATAAATAAAACCTTCAATATTTATCGAATGTTTACACATTGTTTCAGCATTTTTCCATGCCTCATCGGGATCATCGATAAGATTTTTGCTCGAGGTTTCATATGAGTGATTGAAATAATACGAAACATTGAATTGACGTTCAATAAGTATCGAACGTTTGGATTTGGTGCTAATTCTTTTGTTATTGGTATCTACAAGACAAAATATAAGTAGAGTCAGAAAGCTTTAATATCTGGCAGATTTTGGTACCAACCTAAACCATATTTTTCAATTTTTTTTTTGTTTTGTAATTATTCATTTTGATTTGCCCGTTTTTTGTTTAGAACTCTATTTCACAGTAGATTTTCACCACCATTTAAGGTTATTTCTTGAAAATGCATATTTGAAGATAACGAAGCATGACGGAAAGTTCCCTTTCAGATTCCTGAGCTTCACAAAGTTTTACGGAAGCCAAAGATAAGGTTATCTTTCCCCGTCTTTTATGTACGGAATATTTCGCTTCTAGAATGAGAAATTGCATTATGATTTTAACCAATCTTTGATTTTTATTTAATATTTATTTATTTATTTTTTGCGGTGTGTGGGCGTTTCTTTTATCGTCGGCCATTTTATGGGCTTTATCTCTTGTGGATAACTGGGTGCAGTACAGTTATCTAAAGTATTATTACAACCACCGTTTTGTTAAAATGCCTTTGATTCCCCTCCTTACACTGATAGAAAGACCGTAATCTGTCTAAGAGTTTAAGACAAAAACTCTCTTTAGCTTTTAAAGTAAACCATTCTTTGTTTTAATCTAATGTTTCATAAAACACTTGTTACTACACATTAACACCTCATCATTTGTTAGAAGAATATAGTAAAAATACAAATAATAATTTTAGTAAACCATTCATTGTTTTAATTTAGTGTTTCATAAAACACTTGTTACTAGACATTAACACATCATTATATTATGAATATAGCCTTCAGACAATAATACACTATTCCTTGGGATTTTACTATACACACTGATAGTTCTATGAAAGCCAATAAAGTAAAGATTTGTAATTAAAGTCTACGAACTGAAAGGTATCGTCTCATATAAAGAAGAAAATATTTCAGCTTCAACTACTGTCATCCGTATAATAATTGCAGCACCGTGTATGAGCAAAATGATACAATCAAGAACATTAACAGAATCGTTGGCCGCCATTTTTTACAAAAGATTTAAAAAGACAGTGTAGAAATGTTCATCTACTCACTGATTTCAATTTAAAGACGGTTTTAACATTCTACATGTTTTAAGAACCAATTAATATCAGAATTGATGCAAACAGAATGCTTATATTTACCAACTAAATCCAGATCTTGAATAAGGGAATGCACAAAACAAAAAGCAAAATAATAATAATAATAATAAAACCCGACATGACAGAGTGGGCCAATATCTGCACTGGAAAATCTGCAACTTCTACGGGAAGGAAACTGAAAGAAACTGGTATGAACACCACCCAGACCCGGTTACGGAGATAGGACCTGTTACAATTCTATGGGACTGCACAATACACACTGACAGAACAATCAAGGCCAACCGGCCAGATATTGTTATTAAAGACCACAAACAAAAACGATGCCTCCTTATTGATATGGCAGTCCCTGCTGACTGCAATCTATCTTTGAAGATATTCAAAAAGTTGTCAAAGTACAAGGAACTTGAAATAGAAATCTCGAAAATGTGGCATATGGGAACATCAACAATCCCTGTTGTAGTTGGAGCCCTAGGATTGGTTGGGAAAGATTCCAGTAGACTAATTGAAGGGATTCCTGGAAGTCCATGCCTTAAAGAGATACAAAAAATTGTTCTGACAAGTACAGCCCACATTTTACGAAGGGCTTTATCTATGTATTTTTTTTTGCAGTGGAAAGTGTCATAATACCATTTCTAACCTTAGGTCCGTGGGTGGGATCAGGAAAGAAATGTATAAACGTCAGACATCAAAGGAAATAATAATAAGATCCTATCACTGTCACATAATTAAGAATGGAACTAACGTGAAATGCAGGATCTACAGAAAATATGATAAAACTGTCGACCATATTATCTCTGAATGACGGGAACTAGCAAAAAATGAATATATCCACAGGCATGACAAAGTAATGACATATATGCATTGTAAGATAAATGGGAAATGAGAAATGGTAACCAAAATAACGATGTAACTATCCTCAGGGACATGCCAATTCAAACTGACAGGTAAATAAAAGCTAACAAATCTGATTTTATCATAAAAGACAAGGAAGTCAGGAAGTGTATGCTTATTGACATAGCAGTACCATCTGAGAGAAACACCTTCATGAAAATTATCGAAGTAATTGTTCAAATACAAGGACCTCGAGATCGAGATTAACAGGATGTGTGGAATGAAGACTGAGACTGTACCAATAGTAATTGGAGCTCTGGGACTCGTGAGAAAAGGAATGGATAATTTTACTAACAGTGTCCCAGGTAACATCAACATACAAGTTGCTCAGAATATCTCTTTACTAGGAAAACCCGATATACTAAGAAAGGTGCTATCAATTAAATAACAATTCTCTTATAGGGTCTAAAGACTATAGTTTGGACCCGGCTGTACGGGATACAAAGCAGGAAATATGACATACACAAATAATAATAATAATAATAATAATAATAATGGAGCCCTAGGATTGGTTAGAAAAGATTGCAGTAGACTAATTGAAGGGATACAAAAAATTGTTCTGACAAGTACAGCCCACACTTTACGGAGAGCTTTATCTATGTAATTTTTTTTTGTCAGTGGAAAGTGTCATAATACCATTTCTATCCTTGGGTCCCTGGGTGGGACCCGGAAAGAAATGTGTAAATGCCAGAAATAAAGAAAATAAAAAAAATAATAATAATAATAGATGAACTGTTTGGTAACTGAATAGAGTCGGATAATATGCTGAACGTTTGTAATTGATTTGGTACTTGGATTCTTGACGTTACAGTCAAGGTTAAGTTTAGATAATGCAGAGAAACAGACCAGAGTTCAGAATTGCTCGGGTCTCGTAGGATACTTTGAAAGGTGTTGAAGATTTCAAGAAACTTGTTGCCACTCAATTTTCCGCCATTTGTTATAAACATGCAAACGCCTGAAATATCACAATGCCGATTTTCTAAGCTGAAATCGATTAAACAACAAAATAATCGAAGTGATAACTCGACGTTTTGGCGATTAGAACTAAAATTGAATGATTTATGTTTTTTACGGTTTATCAACATGTTTTGAATTGTATGACTTATTCTTTCTTTGCGAGGTAAATATAGCGCTGTAAGAAAGAGATTGCAAATTCTACTCATAATATCAATCAAAAGCACAAAAAATAGAGAAACAGTTAAAACATTTTAAATTACTTTAGAATCATAATTCACAAATTTGACAAGCCTATTGGTCATAAGAGTTTCGATTCAACATCTGTTCTGATTTAATTGTGTATAAATGCATTGACATAGACTCCATGTCAATCCCTCTAACCCAGAATTAATAAGCTTTAACCAGCAAAGCTCAAGCAGCAAGGCTCAAGCAGCAAGACTCAAACAGCAAGGCTCAAGCAGCAAGACTCAAACAGCCAGGCTCAAGCAGCAAGACTCAAACAGTAAGGCTCAAGCAGCAAGACTCAAACAGCAAGGCTCAAGCAGCAAGACTCAAACAGTAAGGCTCAAGCAGCAAGGCTCAATACAAATTCGTGTGTCTCAGGTGAATCAATAAACTCTGTCGAATCTCTTGCATACTGAGAAAGCGAAACAAATTCTAATGAAAAAGATGTGAAAATTCGAATATCTAAAGCCTGGATCGCCTGGAATAAAATTAGATGTAATCTGGAAATATTAGCTACCAGACAACCTCAAACGGAGATTTTTTTTGACGATGTTAATGTATGGTGCCACTGACTGGACATGGACTAAAACCCTAGAATCTAAGCTTGATGGAACCGAAACTCGCACGTTGGGAGCTATAAATTAACAACTCTTAGAGATAACATCCAACTAAATCACAGCTCTATAGACGCATCCCCGGTATTTCTACAATCTTACGCAAACGAAGAATGCAGTTTCCCAGACACTGCTGACCAGGAAAACAAGCACTTGCGAGTGATCAACAACTCTGGATGCCTAGCCGTGGCGTAATATAGGCTGGTCCCAAGCAATCTCATAAATAACACATAATGCCATCCTAATGGCCTTGATGCAGGACCCTGATAGTTGGCGTTATAGACTCGCGAATGTCCACGATAGCTCGACCGAATAATAAATATGTGTGTATAGCAGAGACTTAATCATGACAAAATACAATGAGAACTGATAATTTTTTGAAGGAAATTTCTTTTTAAAATAATATAATTATCATAAAGTTACTTATTCAAGTGCAAAACATTTTAGTCGTTCTTACATTTAATCATATATTTCCCGTTCAATATTTCATATTGCTGTTCAATTTTTTCTCTTTTAAATATAATTTCTGAAGTACTTACCTGTTTTCGCTTTTTCTTTCCAATTTTGATTTTCCTGCATTTCTCTCCTTTGTTCTTAGATCAGTTCTTTGTCCTTTTTCAGTGTTTCTCCTTTTTTATTTTCTTCTTTGTTGATTTTCGCCTCTGTTTCAGTTATCTCCTTTTTTTATTAATTGTTTTTCCTTTATATCCTCCTCCTTTGTATATTTTTCGATCCTCTCCTTTTTCATCCCGATCTTCCTGCTCTTCTTAACTTTTGGTTTTCTTCTCATTCTGCTATTTTTTTTTTATCTTCCTGCCTTTCTTTTCTTGTGCTTCTATCTTCTTATTTTTCTATACATTTTTTTCACTCTGTCTTTTTTTTAAGTCAGATCTTTTTTCTTCGTCCTCTCTTTTACTTGTTTTTATTATACCCTTTTTCTTCTTTTTTTCTTATTGCTCTTTTTTATCTTTCTTCTGGACTGTTTCTTCTCTTGCTTAATCTGCTCTCTCTTCCTACTCCTTTTCATTTCTTCGTTCTTTTTTCTACTCATTTTTCTTCACTTCTATCATTACTTTTTTTCTCTTCACCTATTTCCTCTCTTTATCAGCCATAACTCCTTTTTTCTTCTCCTCTTCATTTTTGACTCCACTTTGTTGTTTTTCTCTCTATTTTTTCTCCATTTTCTTTTCGTCCGACCCTTTCTCTTTCTTGTCCTCTTAATGTTTCTTCACTTCTTCTATATATTTACCCATCGTAAAAATTCTTCTCTTTTCTTTTTTGTAGTTCACTCTCTTTCTTTTCTTGGAATTTTCTTCTTTGTCTTCCAATCGTAGATATAATCGAAATTCATTTCCTCTTTTATCCTTTTTCATAATGGCCATCCGCACGTGTAAGGAGGCACTGTTTCCGCTAATGAATCTCCACTATGCGTTGCCGAGTTTTCTTGATCTGCTAGTTAAAATAACCTTGATTTAAATTCTCAGATAGCATTCCCAAGACTTATGTTCTAGATGCGATGGCTTTTAACAAACGGTAAAAATATGCAGGTCGTTCGCTTCAAAAAAGCTTCAAGTTTCGAATTTCGTTTTTTTTTTTTTTTGAGAATTGGTAATTATTCGCAGGTCACACTTCTTTAGACATAGTCAGTCTTAAATAACAGGCCTTCTGTGACAGATCTTGAGGAGAGGCAATGTTTTCCCAGGTCTCACACCTTCATTCAGTAATTCCGTTCGTTCCAATTTAAAGAGCGGTGCTTATTTTCAGGTCATACGATTTCTGATCTCCACAGATGCTTCTTTGAGGTTTTTCAGTATTCCCTTTATGATTTTACTTCTTGGAGAAAATTGGTGTTCGACGTCAATCCATTGACAAGAAGCCAGGAAAAAGATTAATATGAACCACCGTTCAAAGTAAAAATATATTCTTTAAAATAATGCTACATTTTTCACTGAGTAAACACACTTCTTTTTCATCATTAGAAAGCAGCGTATATATATATATATATATATATATATATATATATATATATATATATATATATATATATATATATATATTGTACGAGCCAAAAATGGAAAGGCACACAGAAAAGAGATTTTTGTATTTGTAATAAGAAAAGTGAGTAATAGTTTGTTTATTAATACAGGTGATTGATACAGGTGTACATATGTACATTATACCAGTCAGAAAAAGATTTAGCATATTGTTGGGGAAACTTTTGCTTCAATAACGGCCTGACATTAACCTAATTGGAAACCTTTGGGCAATTATGGACAAACGAGCCCGTAATGGGCAAGTTAACACAGAAGATGAGCTTTTACGCGAATTAAAGAAATGGTGAAAAAATCTAGCGAAGGACGTTGACTTACTAATGAATTTAATCTATAGAATGCCACAAAGGATTCAGGCCGTTATTAAAGCAAAAGGTTACCCAATAAATTACTAAATCATTTTTTTGCCTTGTATATTTTACTTATGCACACCTGTATTAATACCTTGTATTAAAAAACGAATTCTATTACTCACTTGTCTTGGCAAAATTACAAAAATCGTCCATTTTTTTGCCTCGCACTCTCTATCTCTCTTCTTCATATATATATATATATATATATATATATATATATATATATATATATATATATATATATAGTCGCAACGTTGTCGTCGTTTCTAACTCGTATCCAAGAATTTAAGTTCTTCTCTACTGATCGCTTCCTTTATAATGATGTTTTTTTTCTAAATACATTTCCCGCCAACGTGCAAGTTCAGGACTAGAGGCTACCAGTTTCACCAAAAGCTGTTCCTGTCATCCATTTCCTATCACTCGAAGTAGAAGTTTCTTTAAGGTGGATTTCAATTTAACAGGAAGTGACGCACACTTTTGATTGTACGACCTTCCTCTGTGGCACATATGGAATGAGACATACAGAATCCAGTTAGGAAACTGCATCTGACTGCTGTTGACTCTGTTTTAATTTCGAGTGACTCCTGCTGTAGCATGTCCATCAAGCGTAGCCCTCTTCATCCGCTGGTTCAACCACTAAGGTCTGTTGTAATCGGTATCCGCTTGTTCCAGATGAAAAATAATGTACAATCCTCTGTCGATTAATCCAAGTAGGGACCTATGGAGAGGTCAAATAACATTTTTTTCGTGCTAAAATCGAATATCCAGGAATTATTGGTTTGTAAATACAGTAGATTTCGCTTAATAGATATCTTCATAGATCAAAGTTTAAAGGAGAAATTTTTTTCGAGTATCGATGAGTGAAATTAGCCATATCCAAAAATCGGCATGGCTCAGTTAGAAGACATACCACACTTTTACTAAGGTTTTACTTTTTGGGTTCGATATCATGTCATATGTGCGTAAATCCGACGTCTTTAACGGACGAGCCGTGCGAACGAAAAGGTCAAATGCAGAGTGGATTTAACCTTAACCGCTACACTTCACAACTTGAAAGCCAGTCTTGGTGTCTGGCAGTTGCAGACAATGGTCAGAGACAGGCATCTTGAACAAAACTACTTACCTGAAGCCAACGAATATTTTACCCAATTCGTTTAACTTGATTGCGCGAATCGAAGAGAAAGAAAAAAAAGAAAAGAATAAATAAGAAAAAAAAAGGAGGAAAGTGGATGGTGGAAAAGAACAAAGAATTGGCAAAAAAAAGAAAATAAATTCTATCAATCGTCAATTACGAATTAACGTTATCTACTGCGTTCCTTTAATGTTTTTTTTTATTATTTCACATCAGTATTCAGATCTTCTTGCTCTCCTGTGCTCCTCCTTACTCTCCACTAAAAACAAAATTCTGCGTGAATTAGAAAAAATAGCCAAAACGTTTCTTCAAATTAAATGTATATTATCTTTTTGTGGCTCACGTTGCAAAGGGCATTTTCTACAAGGACTAAAATTACTTTCTAATGACTTCATATTTAACAACGTATAATAGAAAAAGTCAGCAGTCAATTTCAAAATGAATATCTATCTATTTATCTATCTATTTATCTCACTATTTATCTACCTCAGTCTGTTTATCTTTCCCGCTTTATCTCAGAGATTTCCTATCTATCTATCTATCTATCTATCTATCTATCTATCTATCTATCTATCTATCTCTCCCCTATTTCTACATCTATTTTATTCCGTTTATCCTTCTTATTTTACTAATCTGTCTTTTTCCTATCTATCTATCTATCTATCTATCTATCTATCTATCTATCTATCTATCCTTGTTTATATCTCTCCCCTATTTCTACATCTATTTTATTCCGTTCATCCTTCTCATTTTAGTAATCTGTCTTTTCCTATCTATCTATCTATCTATCTATCTATCTATCTATCTATCTATCTATCTATCTATCTATCTCATTCTGTTCATCTATCTATCTATCTATGTCTGTTTGTCCTTCTCTCTTTATCTATTTCCGTACTTTCCTATCTATCTATCTATCTATCTATCTATCTATCTATCTATCTATCTATGTCTGTTTGTCCTTCTCTCTTTATCTATTTCCGTACTTTCCTATCTATCTATCTATCTATCTATCTATCTATCTATCTATCTATCTATCTATCCGTAACTATCTAACTTTCCATCTATGTCTTTCGATCCGATGTTTTTACATACTATTGTTCACACAATAGAAGGCCAAAGAGCCGCTCAAGCTAGATGGTTACTGAATGAGGTTATTGTAATTGGACGAAAGAAAGAAGTTAGTTAGTTAGAAGGGCATATTATCAGGATATGTAGGATAGGTAACGGTTGAATCTATACCTCCTGTATTTAATTGCAGTGATTGGTGGAAAATCTCACGGCAGACGGTTCAACAAACTAATGGCTCTCGGTTAGGAGCACTCTGATTGATGCTCCTACCTTACTATTGGAATACAAATTAAATAAAGATGAATCAAACCCTTTTAGTTGGTATGACGATTTCTAGATCTGGCCTGGTGGAACGAAGCAAAGGTTATTGTCTGATTGTATGCCATGAAAATAGCGATTTTTCTTCCTTAAGGATATAATCGGTGAAATATTTTGAAATATTATGTACATATTGATCAGAGAATACAATGGAAATATTCAGGGTGCTCAGAATGTCATTATAAAGTCATAATTATAACATATATGTTTTAATATAAAATACAAGAAGAGAATATGAATTCAAATTATAAACAATGTCGACAGTGATACCCGTTAGCATCAAATAAAGCTTGGATCTTTTTTTATTTCGTTTCTGAACACCGGTGTCATTTGCTCCCTTGAAATAAACTGAACGAACGGCGTTATGAGCAGTTCCATGACCAATATCTTTCCGCTGCGCTAACTTTCCTAATGATTTTCATGGATGCTGTTGCATACTTGCAGAAAAAATCCCACAGTTTCTCCTCCGATGGCTTTGCTGGTCTTCCACAACTTTTGGCATCGTCGACTGATCCTGTTCTCCGAAATTCATCAACAAGGTTACAAACTCCATTGCAACGTAGAGCAGGTGTATTTGAAAAATTATCAGCAAAACGCCGTCGCAAAAAATATAGGTATCTAACAGCTTTTGAAATGCTTTTGATGAGAAATACATGTTCTTCAGTTGGGGTGAAATCTGAAATATAAAAAATATGATTATAAAAGTCTGCAGTAAATTTTCGAACATCCTGTACTACTAAAATGTAAAGGTAGTTCGTAAGATATCTACTTTATTATGAAACCTATCTTGCAATTATTTTTATGAACAATATTTGATAAGGAACTGTTCACTCCAAAAACCAGTCGTTACTTGTCATATCAGAAGGTTTGCGTGTCCCGGTGATCCCAAGAACGAAGCCGTCTGGAGTTTCAACACCTGTAGGGTCACCCATGGCGGTAAGGACGAGGAAGAGGGACCAGACTGGATGCGACCAACATCTAAAGAACCCAATAGGCAAATATCTACACGAAAAGCCGTCGGAAGAGGGCATCGCCAGTCGAACTGGCGTAACTAAGACGGACCTTGACAGACCAAGCTTCCGACAGCCCGATGCAACCAGGTTTGCCAGATCTCGCCTGTCTCAATCCCCCTTTGAGCTGCGAGGTAGGCGCTTCTGGCCATGTGTGTGGGCTTCTCCGTCGCGCAGAGTTGTCCACCAAAATCAAATTCAAGCGAATGGCTTCGTCAAAATCCCTTTAACAAATCATGAGTAGGCTGGGCCTTCACAGCATAAGTGGAGGCAACCGGGGACGTTAACGATGGAGAACTGGTCAGCCAACATCAAAGACTGTACGGACATGCCAGATCTCGCCTGTCTCAATCCCCTTTGAGCCGTGTGGGAGCCGCTTCTGGTTAAGTGTGGATGACATCCTGACTTATGTTGAAAAGGGTGCATCGGGCAAAATAAGTTAAGAATCACTGATCTACATGATGTCAACGGCCAAACTGGCGGAAGAGGGCAGCACTAGTCGGGCTGGTGGGACCAAAGCGGACCATGACAGACCAACCACCCGACAGCCCGATTCAAATAATCTGTCTCTATCTCCTTTGTGCCGAGAAGGAGGTGCTTCTGGACAAGTTTGTGGACTTCTCCATCGCTCTGAGTTGTCTAGCAAAATAAAATTTACGCAAAATGGTTTCTTCAAATTCTCTTTGATTAATCCCCAGGATTACTTACATTATTTCCATTATTCGAACTGTTATCCTCGTCTTCATTGCCAGATTCATAACGTTTCGGCCGTTGTACGCACCGGCCTTCTTCAGGAGATTGGTATTTCGATCCGAACCCTTTATTTCGTCCAATGAGGTAGATTGTTATAATTCCACGTGCCATGCCTCTTCCGGATGGCTCAGTTATTTCAATTTAACTCAACTCTCCGAGTTTTGGACTCACCACTGCTGAGGACGGGTATGAAACTCACAACACTTTGTGTCTAGTCACTGGATCTAACCAAGTTGTGATTTCAATACCAGGCCACAGCAGTGGTGAACGGCACTTGGAGAGTTGAGATAAAGGGAAACAACTGAGACATCCGGAAGAGGCATGGCATGTGGAATTAGAATAATCTACCCTGGTAGACGAAATAAAGGGTTTGTTCTGAATTTCTAATCACCTGAAGAAGTACAACGGCTGAAATGTTTCGAATATGTCAATGACGATGAGGATAACAGTCCGAATAATGTAAATAATGTAAGTAATCATAATACCTCATATCAGAGATATAGAGAGATAATACTCAGGTGTAGGCTGGGCCTTTACACCCATCTCTACTGCTGCGATCAGAGTGAGGAAAAAGAATAAGGAAAGAGGTTGACGATCCCGATGATCGGATGCGTGAAGGTGCCGACTAGTACTACCAGTATAAAACAACACGATAAACTAAATACAGTACAGTGTAACCCGGATGTAAGAGAGTTGTCGGTACCGGAGAAGAAGTCTCTTATATTCGGGTTTCTCTTATATCCGGTTTTCTCTTATATCCGGGTTTCTCTTATATCCGGGTTTGGTCTATTTTATATTCATTAACACAGGCTCTAATTTGGGACCAGAGAAAACAACAACACGTATTTTGAAATAATTGCGCAAATTCAGTTCTTTTATTATTTATAGAGACAGCCACAATAATTACAGGCTCCTGACTGCTATTCGCAAATTCTTCTATAACAATGATGACATCGACATACAAGTTTGACTATTAGCCGGCATTCGTACTAAGGTAATATCCAGGATTCGTCATGGTGATTTATAATGTGAATATGTCCTTTTCACTTGGAAAATTGACGCAGTACAATCTTCTTAGCTCCCATCTACTTCTGCTTGTCAATGAGCCGTATTAAGCAAAGCTTAGTATATATCTATGAAAATGATTATTTCTCTTACTCTTCCTGGCAGTAGTAAACCTGGACAGTCGCTACTCTTGGACATTTAAATTCGTTAATAATATTTGCCCTGTTTTGTTCTAAGAGGTGAATTATTATTTTTAACTATAAGGTTAGAGGTTTGTATTCCTGATCAATCAATATTCGGAAAAAATTTATATAGGTCATACTACAATATGTTTGGCCAGCAGACTCACTGTAGACATTTCTAACCATAGCTCAATTAGATCTCATTTAAATATTCATGGAGACCTACTGGACACTATTTATATCCGGGTCTCTTATATCCGGGTTACACTGTACAATATAAAATACTAGATCAGAACGGTAATCATTGCTCCACAATATAATTGTATCGAATATTTTTGTAAGTTAATCTTAATGTTGCTGAGATCCCCTGGGAAAAGATATGACCACACTAGCTCTATCTGCATGCGAGTCTGTAAAAGAAAACTTTAAGCTCAGTGCCCATTTTCAAATCTCAGGTAACCTTTTTTTTTAATTTATTTATTACCGTATTACTTTGCCCATCAATTCACACCGGAAACAAAATCCGGCCACCATTTTGTTTTCATAGAAAGATTGTCGCCAGTAGATATACACCTCATTCTTTTTTGTGTCTACCCGGGCGAATTTTCGGAGGTTTTTCTTTACTGAGACTCCAGGGGTGAAAACTGAAAAGAAATAGCAAACAGAAACAGCAGTATTAAAAATAAGAGGTAAAAGAAAGATATTAAAAGAGTCAACGGAAGAATGTTTTGTTTTTTTTTCCAAAATAAATATATCCTTAGCTCGATTTGTCGAGATAGATTGTGGACAACATCTTTAGAAAAATCTTGGTAACAGAAAACCTATTTGGAAAGAAGTAGAATGAACACACAAAGAATCATATTAAAGTTTAAATGCATTTATGAAGCTGACGCTTTATCATATACATATCAATAAATATGTCATTCTCTGAGATAATTGAAAAAGTGTTTATCAGTATTTTATAACTACTACTTAAACGTTAGATAAGAGAGGATTTGCGAGTTCAAGACAATATGGAGACTGGCCGAAATAATCGGAACTGATTAAAATATAAATTCCGAACTACGAGCTTAATGTCGATTCACTCTGTGAAGATCACTGAAAAGAAAGTTAAAATATGGGGGTTGTAGGCGAAGGACTTAATGATGTAACTAAGTAAAGGCATTTCGTCAGCATATCTGCATAACTAAGTTCATTTACGAAAGGTGAGTTAAAAGATGTTTCCGAAAAATAGATGGATAAATAGATGTAATGTTACCCCTGCTCTTCCCAAGAAGGTGCATCCATACAATTCAGACGCTATCTCTAGTAGATATCTTCAGTTTGGGATGGTTGTGGGGATAGGTTGGTTATATACAGTTTTTTACTGGCCAAGGAGTTGGTGCTAGGTAGCTCGTTAATCGTCTAGATTTGCTGATAAGTGTTCGAGTTCTCTCATTCATAACTAGCATATCCTATGCTATTGGCACCGTGTGATCTTTAGTTGTTTGCTTTTATTTCAAGCAACAAAACTGGATCAAACCTCACGCCCAACCTATTAAATATATTTCATTTTCTTACTGACAAGAAACGTGGGATTGCCCTTCTTCTTGATTCAGTAAACCGTGGTATATTCTTGGTGACGGGGGCTGAAGAAAAGCAAGTCGTGCTCTTGTCGGAAGAAGAAGACCTGATCTTGGTTGAAAATGATAGTTTTAATAATAGTAAATAAAGATAG